TATGCTATAGTCATCCGATCTATGCAATTTCTTCGGAGATAGAATTATTGCCTTAAATAATATTCCATGCCAAATTTTGTGAAGATACCTCATCAAATGAAAGAGTTTTCCATACAAGTACTAGATTACGATCGTTCAGTGTGTATGACAGCTATATGCTATAGTGATCTGATTTTAACAATTTTTTCGGAGATAACATTGTTACTTTAGAAAATAGCTCATGCCAAATTTCGTGAAGATATTACGCCAAATAAAAAAGTTTCCCATATAAGTACTTAATTCCGATTGTTCAGTTTGTATGGCAGCTATATGCTATAGTGGTCCGATATCGGCCGTTCCGACAAATAAGCAGCTTCTTTGAGAGAAAAGGACAGGTGCAAAATTTCATATCGATAGCTTAAAAACTGAGGGACTATTTTGTGTATATACAGACAGGCGGACAGACAGACGGACATGGCTAAATCAACTCAGCTCATCATGCTGATCATTTATGTATATATTTTATAGGGTCTCAGATGTTTCCTTCTGGGTGTTACAAACTTCGTAGCAAACTTAATATACCCTGTTCAGGGTATAAAAATCAACTTGTTGAAATAACGAACACCCTAACATCTGGTTGTTCGAACACTTACTAGTCTCAAATTTACTAGTCCTTCGCCAATAGAAATGCGTTTTTACTGCTTGATATTAGAACTTAATTTATTAAATGAAGGTGTTGAATTCCCTAGTAGCTAAACGTTGCCCACCACAGACTCAAAAGTTCTACGTCTGTATAATTACACACGTATGTATGTATGAATGTGTGTTTTTTATCGCGTTGTTTATAGCACAGGTGTTTCATAAGGCGAACGACTCAAAGACGGGGGATTAGCACTGATTTCAGCTGGTCATACCGTCATAGCGGCGCTACGCTCAACAATGTATTCTATACACATATGTACATACATGTGTAGTTACATAGACGTGTTTGTATGTTAAGTGATAATGTTGTTTATTGGTAGGTGCAGCAGTGCACCATTCATATTGTCTGTTGCCAATGCAATTGTTTGTGCAATTATAAGCAAAGCGCTTTGAAAATCATTATTTTAATTGTTGTTTTTGTATTTGACACACTGCTAACGGGTATGGTAATTTTGGAATGTTGACGGCTGCACTCTCACAACTGTTGTTATTGTTTTGCAATTTAGTTATTTACAAATGTGCGTTATTTTTTCAATCCAGTTTTTGTTATTGAAATTCACTAATTTACAAATTATTAGGTACAGTGTGTCAAATAAGTTTTTCGCTGTTTAAATAGTGCACCATTATATTTTCTTTTCTCATTCTGTTTTAGATGTTTATACAAATCATATGTAAAAGCACTCCAAGCGACGTAGGAAACTAATAATTTTTACGTAAAAATAATATCAGTAAAAAAAATGTAAATTGAATAAATTTTGAGTTATATTAATAAATTCACTTGAACCTAAAGAAAATTAAAAAATATTTATTTTTCTTTGTTTTACATAATTATTTTAGGTTATTGCTGTCATATTAGATTACTTATGAATCGTTATGTAAATGATACAAGACTGATTTGCCTCAGACTTATTGTAAATTAATATTATTCTGACTTCTTAATTTCAGCCAGAATTTTCTAGTATAAAAGCTCGTTACTTCTTTTCTAAAGCAATGATTATGATGAATATTTATTCAGATATATAAATATGTATATCAAAAAATATGGTAGTGTGGGATTATTTGCGATTTAGTATGTGCATAGAACACGCATATATGTTTGTATATATTTTAATTCACAAATTGGCTCTTTTTTTTGTTATTCACATCTGAAGTTGTCAAAATAATACTTCTGTCGGTACAGCTATTTCTGTTAGCACTTAAGTTCTCCATACGTAAATATAAAGTATAAATTTGTAAATTCAAGTAGTAGTTTCAAGATTTACTTTTATTCATTTTTTATTTAAATTAGATACTACTTGTTTTCTTTTTATAAATTATGCATAATTTATGAATACGATTAATATTTCATAAACCCATAATGCGGTAAATTTATTTTGATTTTACAAATAGAACTAGTCGAGTGTTTTAGGGCATTTTTTAGATTTTACAAAACATCTTTTTTGCTTTATTCGTAAACTATTTCACAACCTTTTTAAATTCCTGATGACTTTTTTCACAATGCGATTCGAAATTAGTATTACCTATTTCCGAATAAATAAATTTTTCGCGTTTCCTCACCTATTGTGTAAGTCGACTCATACCTGTCAATTAGACTATAACAGAAAATTATTATTAAAAAGTTCAAGTTATTTCACAAAATATTTAAAGTACAACGATTATTTAGCGATAGACTTGAATTGCAAATTATTTAAATGTCATTAAAGTAAATAGATAAAAAATATATGTGTACATACTTTCCTTTCAAGAGATTTATATTTCCAAAATTACCAAAATACTAAAGAAGTAATATATTAGTTGACTGAATTTGAATTTTCATTTCTGAGACAGACTGCACAACTGTCTATGACCAGGGCTGGTTACCAGGGATGATGCAAATTTCGGTGTACGGTTGTCTTGCAGCTTCTCGCGTTAGTCGCCATATATGGTATACTTATATGATATATAAGGGTTATTAAATTCAAGGCATAAGAAGAAGACTTGACAACGATAAAGGCGTTGAATTAAAATGTTTAAAGGTTACAAATGGCTGGGCTGGCTTAAATTACTCAAAAAGTTTTTTCGATATTGTTAATGCCTAATGTAATAAATTGCTTTTTGCTCAGTTTATCATTTCCTACTATTAAATCCGTTTGAAATACATAACGAAAAAGTGAGATTAAGTAGAAGGTTTACCTTGTTGTGATTCATTAAAATTTGATTTTGCGAAAAATTCATATGTAGTTCAATTGCCAGCGAATGCATATAGTAAATAGCATTTGAAAAATATTTTTTGCCGTCATTTTATAAGGACAGGTTATGGAAACGCGCCTGAAGTGTTAATTTTTTTTTACTAATATATTCAATAATATATTTTCATTTAAGTCTCTATATTTAAGTTTGTTTGTATGTAGATATATTAAATGCATTGATACGTATGTATATAAGAACATATGAATATATGGGTATGTAGGAGGGTAACGTGCGCAAAACTGGACCGAGGTCAATATAAATAGTTGAAATACATAAAATCAAGAATCAAGTAATATTTTATCATATAATTTTTTCTAAACTAACATGTTATACTTTAATATGTTATTATGTACATATTTCCATCTAAATTTATATATATTTACATTTGTATGTACATATGTATATTTTATTTGTGTTGCATTTTCGCTTTTACTACCTAATAGCTATAATCAACAGCTGCAAAAGTAAGTGGAACAACAATAGCACACTTGTATTTATGAAATTTCCAAACAATCGCATTCTAATCGCAACACTGTCCTCCATCATTACCCTCCTCCTCATTGATTTCTCGTTTCGCAGCGTGTCGCCTCTACTATTTGTAAAGTTTTGCTTACATCTTTTATTTCCATGCAAATAATATTGTGTATATAATATAACTGGGACGTTAATGATAACCTTTTGGACCGTTGTCGGCCATGCAGAATATACATATATATATATTTATACATATTTATTTATGTGTTTGACTTCCCTCATTGAAACCCCCATTGCCGCTGATATATAAATATTATTAATGTTATTGGTAAACGTCATATGCGGTCCACTTATTTGTGGATATAAATAAATATGCATATAAGGAAAAAAGGTGGCCAAAATACACTGAAATCGTGGTGCGTATTACATATATAGATCATGACTTCTCTCAAAATATGATACAGGATGACCCCTCATAAGAGCACTATTTCAGCCGTTTAACCTGTGCGTTTACAGTTATCGTTACTTATGTTATCAATGCAATGTAATTATTCAACGATGATGCCTTCTTTTTATATTGCTCTGATATGTCGCATACGCGATATAGATATATATTAGATAAGGCAACACTAAAATATCGCAAGATCCAGATCGCATTACTATAACATATAGCTGCCATGCAAACTAGCCGATCAAAATCAAGTTCTTGAATGGAGCCTTTTACCGCTGCAAACGAAGTTAACGTTTGTTCATGTTGTTATTTATTTTATGTCTCATTCGGTCTTAAATGAAAATATTATCTCTAAACTGCAATTACATGATTTTATGTTATACATACACATGTAAGCTTATCCTGCTCATGTCATGTCTATAATTTAAGTTAACTGTCAGGTAACTTTAAAACCAATTTATTACATCTTTTATTTATTTACAGAGTGGGCCGAAGACAAAGTGACACTACTGGATACCGGCACTATTATTGCTCACCCCAATTCAGTTACAAAAGTCTACAGCTCCTTCGATAATACTGATGCTCTAAAATCAGAAAATTTCGAAATTACGGTTCTGACCACTTTAACTCCACCGCAATCTCCACCACAATCTGCTACATCGTCAACCATTCTGCAACATGCCATTGCAACGGAAGGCGTAGTTAATGTAAGTACCATATAAATTATTACACAAATATTTTTAATGTTTAACTATGTAAATTCATGTAATTTTTTTTTTAGTTCAACAGTTATATGCACCACTCATCGTTCCATACCACACCGGCAACAGTGAGTCCCATAGCAACACCAGTAACTACATCTACAATACACGCCGGTTCGTCCCATGCGTTAGCACCAGCAACACCTACAGCAACGCTACAAAATCTGCATTTCACCAACTACTATGGAGCTGCACCGTTCACACCCTCCGAGGCGCCACAAACCGATGACGACAAACGTAACTCACAGATCGTAGATGATATACTGAAATCATTCATAAAAGAATTGCCAGATTTAAACGATGAATGTGAGTCCAATTCGTCGTCGGCATACTCGACAGTATCGCGACCAGAGTCAATTGTAACCGATGAGGATTGGTCGCCAGATTCTTCTTTTTCATCATCTGCCAGTTCTTCGCCCATTTATGGCGACGCTGATGAAGATAACTCACAATTCGTGCAGTCGAAACCCTCCGAATCCAAAAAGCGCACGCGACCATATGGACGTGGTGTTGAAGATCGCAAAATTCGAAAAAAGGAACAAAACAAGAATGCGGCTACACGTTATCGTCAAAAGAAGAAAATCGAAATGGAGAACGTGCTAAATGAGGAGCAACAACTATCACAGCGTAATGACGAGCTGAAACGCATATTGGCCGAGCGTCAGCGTGAGGCCAAGTACTTAAAGACCCTCATTAGGGAGTTCTACAGCCAGAAAAAGGGCAGTGAAAGCAGTAAACATTGAAGCAGCAACGATCGGCCATCAGGTCAAATTTGTCATCAAAGAGCTAACAAATCAACTGTTCAGTAAACACCAACAACAACATTTCCAAACAACATTTTAGACATATTTTTTTAACTATTGTATTTTTAATTGGTACGCAAACATTGTAATAATTTAGACAACATGCAATTAAGCAATTGGCACGCATTGTCAGTTGGCGCTTATGACAGGACATTTTGGTCTTCGAACTAATTTAGCCACGCGCAAGTGCATGCCACTCCCAAACGTTTGCATAGTGCCCAAATATAAACCCTAAACAACATCAACCAAATAACTATGTACACGTATAATTGCTTAGTTACTCTGAATTCAATTGGGGGCACTAAAGTGCCTACGATTCATATTACAAATAAAAGGGTTTATAATATATATTTTGAGTTTTTCTTTTTTAATTTATTACATTATACAGTTTGTATTTGCATAGTTTTAAAAATGTCTAGTTAGTATAAAATATTGAATATAGCAACATATCTAAGACTTCAACATCTTATATAATCAATTTAACATTTTGGTTTTTAATTTTAAAAATCCACATGGGATAGTTCCACTCATCATGCAATTCCAATTTGAGCACTCGCAAGGTAGGTAAATGAAGTTTGTGCAAAAACTCGCCGGTCAATATGTAATTGCCGACAATTTCTAGTTCTAATAAATCGTTACAGCGCTTCAGTAAGTCTGTTAAAAGTTTGTCTGTTAGTTGGCAATAACTCAAATTGAGTTTTTGTAGTTTTGCTGCCACCTTGCCGATGCATTGACAGTACTCATTATTAAAATATACATAATTCAATGAAAAAGCTCGTAATTGCTGGGTTGCAGCAGCTCCTTCGCAAAGCGGCTTTATAATATTTAACACATTTTGTGTTGGTATTTCATATCCGCAAGTCATGCTAAAATTGCATATATTTTCGCCAATTATTCGTAGCTGCTCTGTGTTGAAATTCGGGAATTCTCGTATAGCAATATTGAGGTGCTTGAATGTTGAAATTCTTTGGTGTGCGATTTCAGTGAGACGTGTGTTGCGCACATCGATTACTTTAAACGCTTCTTCAAGGCTGAGATATTTGAATATTTCTATTAGACAGTCGTCGTTCAGATCAAGTAGAGATTTCATACTTATTTCTTCTATTTAAAAATATAGTACAGAATTAAATATTTAGTACTTAATTAAATTTCGACTTACAAATCAAATATGTTAATAATAACGTAATGTAATCAACGTAAAGGACGTTCAATTTCTGAGACAAAGAATACAAGAAAAATCCGGCCTGCAATGAAATAAGTGGGAAAACGCAGTTTAAGATTTCAGTGAAAATATGCTATAAAAGGAGTTAGAAATCGTTAAATTTAATCTGATTTTTATTATTTTGCAGTTTTTAAATCAGTAGTCAATTAAAATAAAGCCAAAAGTGCCTTCTAGGGAAACTTGAAAGACAAGTAAGAAAGCGCTAAGTTCGGTTGTAATCGAAAATTTTATACTCTCGCAATTTGCGCGGTTCACAGTCGGAAAATATTAGCTGTCTTCGATTCGCCAAGCGTTAGTCTCCAGCGAATCAACAAACTAAACTAGATGTTCAAACAAACTTGTGGTTCAACCCTGCTCTAAAATGTCTTCTGACGCATGCGTAATATTGTTATTATTCTCTTTTGGTGAAATTATTTGGAGAAATAATTTTTTTCGCATTAGCTATAAGCATTTGCTTTGGCATTAAACTCAAGTATGCTCGAAAACTTGTTTCCAACGATGTTAATGAGATCACTCGAAATTTTACCTATATATTCGGCATAGAGTTCCTAGAATAATGAAAATCAGTGTATGTAGAATGTGATGGCTGGGGTAATTCGTACCAAACCAAACCAAGTACTAAACTATAATATATCCTAGATCATATGATTACCTCACTTTGCTAAGATACATTACATATTGACGAATATAAACGGTATTAAAACGGATACGGTGGACAAGTTAAGTATTGACCAGATTTTATCCATTTTTGACACAAACGTTCACTATTATCGAGAAAATTGTTTTTTTTATAATTTCCTTAGTTTTGGGGTACAGTCAGCCAAATACACTGAGGTCCATATATTCGGTATTTGGGGAATTTCATAACTTGAAACAACTAATCGTGCAAAGTTCTATTCCGACATCTTAATTGTTGTATGATTTATATACCGCAAAGAATCAGGTCGAAGTGGTTGAAGTTCGACCAATAGAAAATACAATTGATTAACAATGTCAATAGTATTTAAATTTTATTAAATGTAAAAAAATTAAAATTTCATTCAATTCATTCTCGTGCAAAATAATTTGTTCGATTTCTGGTTTTGTCTTAGTTCTTCCTTTAATGAACAATCGAAGCAGTTCGACCAATTTAAATTTGTCGTTGTATGTGGAAGCGTGTGCATCTGCGTTTAGCATCTCTAAAGCAATTAGTATAAAATATTGATGAATTGTTTAAATGAAAAACCGATAAAGTCTCGAACAGATGCTTAATTTTGAAACTTTTTCAGCAAAGAAATTATTTTGCTATTTCGTTGTTGTTGTTGATATTGTTGATTAAAAAAACTACATTAAATTGACCTTGGAAAAACATTTTTAAAAAAATTACCTACCACACAACGCTTTTGAAATAAATCTATAAATTTCTAACTCACCAAAATAAAACGAATGAAATCAAAGGTTATTTTCATTTCAATGTGTTTTTGTTTTCACAAACAATAACAACAGTCCAAACACAATTAAAAATGGAAAAAAATCGCAACCACAAATCTGCGCCGTAAACGATATACAATTATCCGATATATGTATTTGCATCTTATACAGAACAGCGACGAAATGTACTTGTGTATACGACTGTGCAGGGTGTGACGTGGAAAGGAGAAATAACATCGACCAATGAAAACGCGCCACCGCCCTTGTAGTTGTTGTAGTCGCTAAATTTGCGATAACGCATTTTTAACGTTGCGCACGTCTTCGCCTTTCCAACGGTATAAATTTTATTCATATACTTATGTCAACGGCAAGACAGTCAAAAAGACAACACAAACTTGTTGTTAACGGAATATTTTTTTTGAATAAAAACATGAATTTTTATATTATGAATACAAATACACTTCTTTATTTGTTCAAATTAGTAATAAGACTGATTTACCTAAAACTAAAAATCAAATCAGCAGTAGTCAATACTCGAAGAATTATTATAGTTAACGACACTTAGGCAATTTATTTGCGTGAACAATGTTAGTGTTGCTACACTAGGCATAAGCGATATTAAAACAGTAAGCAACAACAACCGAAATTGCTAATTATGCTTGATCGGCTCATTTACATTTCAATTGTTTATGCTTTAATTCAGTTATCGTGTATTGACATTTTGGCATTGCCGGAGGTAGAGCTGGCGCCATTGCTGTTGACTTAATCCAAATTCGAGACATACATATCTCCCATTCACTCGTCTAGAATAGTTCGAAAGTATTGGAAAGAAGTAAGTAAGTATTGCCGTTCTCAAGATAGTCGGGTTTACGTAAGTAACTGGGGCGGACCTGGATTTTTATCCGGCCGAGGACTGTGAACTTGGCAACATTCCTCTAAATCAAACAACTCCACAAAATCTTGTGTTGTGTGGTATATTCTTTTAACTTTTTGGTTATTTGGTTTCAAAATATTTTTCTGCTCTTATTATTTCACCACTTTATTATTTAAATTAATTTTAATTTTCATATTATATTTTACTATTTTACAATTTTCTATACTCGTAGATCAAAACAACACCGCGAAAGTATTTTTTTCAGAAACAATCGTTATATGTTACGTTACTTTACTTTTATAATAAAATTGTGACAAGACGGTGTTTGTATATTATTGATATTATGGAAAACACGGTGCAGGGTATTTTATTAAAGTAACATAGCCCAATCAAAATTTTTACACGTCTATATGTATGATCGTTCGTAGGTTACCCCAAAATGTATGTGTATGCATGTAATTATGCAATTTTCACCGATATTGTGTTGAAGATTTAACTTTACGGCAGAAAAATTCTTTGTTCTATTCTACCATTGGTCCCGGTTTGGCCGGGACAGTCCGGATTCCGAGTTAAGCGGCCTGGGCTTAAAAATTAAAAAAAAAATATTATGAATTGAATAAAATTGTGTTGCTCTCTCACCCATTATTTGTCCCGACTTTCAATGAATTATTATATGGAAAAAATCGATGACAAAAAAAAACCGTCTCGGATTTTTCCGAGTCAAATATGGTCACCTAATTCTAGCTGTATACTATACATACATATGCTATGAGTAGATTATATATATTATGTGAAGGCCAAAATAGTCTAGAACAGTATTGTGAAACTTACCATAGAACAATAGGACTGTGGTGCCGTTGGTGGTACAATCAATTCACTTTTAGTTCGACTACTTGGTACCTGAAGTGGGAAGGTTAAAAGCCTATTGCGTCACAATACTTCGACAACTATTATGAGTCAATTGTTGCAGACCAAACATTGTCGGGGACTATTGCCCACATACCATGTCAGTTTGTCAATCTAAGATTGCCGACTTAGCATCTTTGTTTCAACATATTTTAAATCATTGAGATATATGTATTGCAAAACCATAAAATTGAGGAAGCTACATACAAATTTTGAAAAAGCTGCAAACAAGTTCCTTTTACTAGGTAGCTAGGTAGGTGAATTAGCGCCAGATGTGATGCAATATCGTAAGATCTTTATGATCCTGCTATCTCGTTTGATAGTTGCGTTCGAACCATTTGGTGCTCTCAACGAAAATGCTTTTATCCGTTATGCTTTTTGTAGACAACCATTCAAGGTTTGTTGCCAGATGGGTTCCAAGTGTTTTGTATTGGGTTTGCGATAGAGCTGGGCATTTACAGATAAAGTGGAAAACTGTTTCCTTATTTGATTTTAGTTTGTAGCTGCGGCAAACATTGTTAAAGGGCAGAACCATTTTTAGTGCATGCCCTCCAAAAGGCCAGTGCCCCGTTATAGAAGCTGTAAGTCTGTATATATTATTTCTGGGCCTATTTAATAAGTCCTTGGTTCTAGTCTTGTCATACTTGGGCCACATCTATTTTTTCAAATTGCGTATAAAGTTCACTCTTGATCGTTCTTGTTCGTGGAATAAGCGAGTTGAATAAGTAAACGGAATAAGTCTATATCATAAATAAGTTTCTGAGTGACGAAATTTCAACTGTCACGCTCAGAGTCCATTTTTTTTAATTGATACACAGAAAGGCGTAATATGTTGACATCTCTAAGATATGTATATTAGATATATCTTTTGACATTTATGGTATATTTATATTAAAAACAGTGGACCGGACCTCTTTCGAAAATAATAATAATTGCGTATTCCCTTCCAGCTGTTATTCTCTGCATTAATCCCAAATTTTGCTTCAAAGTACCGCTAGTTCGACAGATTGTAGGCCGGACCGACTGATTTGATGTGCTTCAAAGGTAACTTTTTATTCAATTCAATTGTGATTAGTCGTATTCTAAAAATTATATCATAATTTTCATCAATTGCAGCCAGTCTTATCATTTCATTATTGAAGCGGACGCTTTTTAAGTTTTTTGATTTATTTTAAGCGGCCGCACTTCAAGATATTATAGGCAAACTCTCACACGTATTCGTGTTAAGAAGAAGCTAAACCACATTCCATAAACCACTTTGTCGGATAATGTTAAGGCGCACACTACAAACAGCGAGGGGTCAACTAGTGAAGGTCATCTTTTATATAAAAACATCTACGATCATGAATAATCAACGCCTGCATTTTCTTTTCACATCAAGTGAATTCTATATCATTTGATTACAGCATTTCTAAGTCGGGCTAAAGTTGTTAGCTTTCTTCTAGATATTTATATTATGAACCGATTAAAAATATTAGTGAAAGTATTACTAGATTCCTTTCAAACAATACCTATATTGTATATACGTATTAGAGTATGCATAAATATACAAGTACATGTATAAATATGTATGTACGTACATTTTGCTGCATGTATGAGCTTTCCACTAGATGAGTGGCAGCTCTGTTCCGGCTCGCATTCAGTGGAGGGGATAAGTGCGCGCGCGACGCTGCTGTGCACCTAAGTCCCAAACGTAATTTCCCGAATTCATTGAACTGCGTGAGTGTGAAAAATAACAATTTAGATAAACATTGCGTCGCCATAGGTCGCGCCACTCAGCCACCTTAGTGCCGTTTCACATTGGGACGCAAAAGAGTCTCAAACCAGTTTAT